ATACAATTTTTTTAATTGTCATAAAATTTTCTATTTAATTATGTCAATGTCAAACTTACCAATTGAGCTAAAAGTTATGGTAAAATAAATTTTTTTTTTTTATTATAAACATTTACAACAATCTACTTTAAATGATTAAAAAAATAGGTTAAATATGTCATTTTCCTTATTTTTAACATGTTAATAATCAAAATCAGTATTAATTTAAAACAATTTTTTTTGTTCTTAATTATTTTTTTTTATATGTAAATACTATTTTTTAATAATATTAAAACTTAAAAGTGATAGAAATAGTCTAATTGCACATTTGAAAACATCGCGAAATGTTGATTTAGAATATTATATTTTTGTTTCTGATGAAAGTTCCTTGTAGTACAGTGTATAAAACTTATAACTTTGTTAACTGTTAAACTTTATCAAAAATGACCAAATCAGTATATTTTTTTTATATATATAGATGCACGTCTTTATCTATCATTTGGTTTTTTTTTATAAATCTAACCCTTTACCTGCCCACAAGAGGGATTCAAAATAATAACTTTTTTTTTTTTAGTTAAAGTAAATCATTAAAATTAATTCAGTTCTGGATATTTCAATTGTAGAATCTTTTTAATTATCAAAAATTACTTAGAAATTATTACTATGATTTCTATTTAAGTGTTCTATTACGATAAAAATGCAAAAAATAATGAGTTTTTCTGATAAATTTACAATAAATAGTAATTATAAAACTTTCTGACTGCATATTAATCTTAAAAATAACATTGTTTTAATTCTCATNTCTGACTGAGTACCTTAGTTACAAGGGATAGATTATTAAATAAAATTAGACCAATGTTTTATGTCAGTAAATAAAATATATTTTATATGTTCAGTAAATATAAAATATATGTAATGTACAATATGTCTGACCTGAATCCTAGTACAGTTGGTTAGTAGGTATATCCAAGTGAGACGGAGTTGGTTGGCTATGATGATAATTGGCGATAGACGGGTCGTTGAATAAAACAAGTTAAGTTATAAATAATATAAATAAGACGAATGTAATAGTATTGAAAACTATGTCTTTAACTATTTCTTGTAATCTTGTATCTTCATGCGTTCTTAAATTGTTATTTTCTTACGTAATTAGTTGTGGTATTCGTTTTAATTGATAATATTCATGGTATATATTATAATTGCCTCCTACGACTTAGTTTGTTGTTCTCGAAGTTCGTTACCACTACAAGATTTTTGCTTTTATTTACATTTCATAGGGTAAATTTATATGTTAGTATTAGGTTACAAAGTTAGACTTGTGATTATGCATTGCGATTGAATAGAAATGAATATATAAATTTTTTATGTGTTTAAATTTATTTTACATTAAAAATTTATTTAAGTACCTAATTTATAGAATAAAAACATTGCTAAAAATTCTACAAATTTACAATTTACTATCTTACTTTTAACTGGACAATGCATAATAACTAGTATAAAAAATAAAAATTGCGATAACGGAACTATTTTATAGTTATCATACAATATAAAAATATTCATGTATTTAAATAATACTTATTATACCTAGTATACTAGTCCAACTGTACAGAACGTAAAAATCAGAATCAGGTTTTGATACGCGGAATAAAAAATAAACAATTAGTCAATGACAAAAAGTTGTAAATTGATATTGCTAATCTTGCGCTTAGTAGTCAATTACAGTTAGTTTCATTATATATTATCTAGTAATATGTTATTATATTATTATTTAATGTGTATTAAAATAATAAAAATAAAAGTTATTAGACAGCAGTTTACCGTGTAAACGGCAGTTTTGTTTAGTTGTTAAGTGGATCATTAATGTTTTCTTAGCAATCGACCTGTCAATGCCTGTAACATATCTAAAAATTAATTTTCATTTTAATTAACCAACCTTAATTAATATCATGCAGTGAATTGACTTATATTAAACTGTATATTTGATAAATATGATCAGAAAAATTAATAAAAATTAGTATATTAATTGCTATTCAGTTATCGTAAAAATTTTAAAATGGCCATCTTGAGTTGTGTGTTATATCGACTTATGTAAGTATATTATTAAGTTCATTTATTAATAACGAATTTTTTTGTTCAACTTAAAATACAGTATGGTTTTATAGCTGTAGTTTGATTTGTTAAATAGTAAAACTTTTATCCTTATAAAGTGATAATATTGTTTTTAAAGTCGTATTGAACAAACTGTAATTCATGTTTTCTCTTTTTTTTCTAAATAGACCAATCATCAGACGATGTCGGAAAAAAAATAATCGTTGGACATGCTGGAATAAAATCAAATCAAATATAATAAAAAATGCTTATAGTAGTAATAATTAGACTGAATTATGTCAGCTTTTATTTGACTTAAAAAATATACCATTTTAACTTCGATGCGAAGCTGAGAAGTTATTAATTTTACTACGATGTGTCTTTTTTTGTGTCTGTTACCACTTTTTTTCAGCTCTCACCAAACCGATTTCATTCAATGATACGTTAAAAGATCACAAATCGTATCTAGTCGAAGACATTATCCTCAAA